TAGAGCATCATGTAGCTTTGACACTAATGGGCAGTAGTGGGGTGGACAAAGGATAATGGACTGCGCTAGAATAACACTTCTAGCAAAAGAGAGGATCAGGTTGAGGTATGTGGAAAAGGCTGACACTTTGTCTACAAGTAAGCCTGGCAGGATCTGATGACGACCTAGGAGGGGAACACAGAAAAGAGTTCAGAATCTCTCCAAGATCTTCAGACTAGAGGAACAGCTGGGCACATGTGCCTCCAAAACAAAATATACAGGGAAGGAAAAGTCTAAAGATAATGACTCCAGCCATGATGAGCTTCAGAGCATTGCATTCATTTTTAATTTTTTTTAGACTTCTATTTATTTTAATTGGAAAGGCAGACATATAGAGAGAAGAAGATAAAAAAGGGAAAGATTTTTTATCCTCTGGTTCATTCCCCAAGTGGCTGCAACAGCCAGAGCTGAGTTGATTCAAAGCCAGGAGCCAGGAGCTTCTTCTAGGTCTCCTATGTGGGTGCAGAGGCCCAAGGCTCTGGGCCATCCTCGACTGCTTTCCCAGGCCACAAGCAGGGAGCTGGATGGGAAGTAGGGCTGCCGAGGTTAGATACCGATGGGATCCCAATGTGTGTAAGGTGAGGACTTTAGCCACTAGGCTACTGCGCCAAGCCCCAGAGGCATTTTAAAACATGAATGTCTTAGAGGCAGATAGAGCAGTGTCTGGGATCCCAATGTGTGTAAGGTGAGGACTTTAGCCACTAGGCTACTGCGCCAAGCCCCAGAGGCATTTTAAAACATGAATGTCTTAGAGGCAGATAGAGCAGTGTCTGGCAGCCCTTGATCTTGATCCAGAGATCTGCAAGTCATCAACATACAGTAACTGATTAAAAAACTTAGATGAAGTCATTCAGGGACCTATCAGTACAGTAACCAATGGCCTGAAGACTGCAGGACTCTGAGAACAATTAATAGTTAAGAAAGTTGAAGGAGAAGCTGTTAAAGAAGTCAGAAAAAAATAGTCGTACATATAACAAGTGAATTTGGGAGTGCAAGAAGTCCAGAGCACAGCTTCGAAGGGCAGATGATCAACACTTCAACAGCAGCACACAGCTATAGTCTGCTGAGTACCGCATGAGCGCACTGGCTGTAGCAAGCACATCATCTCTGATGCTTTACGTTGACAGTGGGTGTTGAAGGCAGACTAGGGTTCATTAAAGAATGAGAGAGTGGATGAGGCCGACACATGGCTACACTGCTACAGGTTACACAGCCCTTCCACACTTGCCCAAGACAACAAAAACAAAAAAGAAAGAGCCAAACACAACAGCCCTGTTGGCCTGTAACACTGGCAAGGTAACACCGTGAAGTCAGCAGAGATTTGCTAGGCTTGCAAACAGAAGGGCTAAAATTCCCAAAAGAATTTCCTAAGACCAAGTCTGTGAAACAAAGTATGCTCTCGGATGTCCGATGAAATGAAACAAAGATTCCCCATAGGCAACCTTAAGGGCATGTAACATTTGCTCTCAATCATAAGAATTGAGAGTGAAAATGCACTCTTCATGGAGCATGGCATGTCAGAACACACCATTCAGCGATTTGAAAAACATCAAATAGCTAGAGTCTAAAAGCCACTGTAGAAAACGGGCAGTCTGTGAACATATAATCTGTTGGTGTCGCAGTGGCTCCAGCACGAACAGCTCAATATGTCCCTAAGTCATTAAAAGATAGCACATAAAGTCAATTAGAGGCAGCACTCCGAGGGCTCAGACCACAGCATCTGACAATGCATGTATGTGTCTTGTTTGTCAGTTAAATAGCCCACTGTTTTTCAGTAACTCAACATTTCAGCTGTAATATCTTTTCCCCTTATTTATCTGCACTGTTTTCAGATACACATTGTATACTGGAAATTATTTTTTAAACTTCACGTGGCATGTCTTACCAGTTGTTAAGAGTATCTGTATTTGAGAATGAAGAACCACTGATTAATGCATCCACTCAAAATTGCTATCCTCATGTACCTACAGGCCTACGTACAGAACGAGGAGTGTGGGTACACAGATGAAAACCAAAAGGTCCCTGCTGCCAGTTTTATAGTTTGTGCGGGAAAAACAAGGGGGAAAAAGTACATTTAAAAATTAAAATGACACAAATGATTATGGAAGATGAAAGTAGCACTTCCGGGAACAGGTGTTAGCACAGTGGGTTAAGCCACCATGTGGGAATGCTCACATCTCTGCTCCCTGCTGCTCTGCTTCCAGCCAACGCCCCTGCGAAGGCAGCACAGGGCCAAGTGCTTACTCCCGTGCCACCAAAGGTGGAGACCAGAATGCAATTCCAGTTGACTGGCTCAGGCAAAAGCTAGACCTGGCAGTTGCTGCTTTTTCTGGAGGAAACTGCAGATACAAGGTCTGTATTTCACCTTGTATCGTTTCAAGAAAATAAACTTTTAAAAACATATAAATAAGTAACACTCACCCTAGTTACCAAATGGCTCTAACTGGGACTGGTGGTGTGGCTCAGTAAGCTAAGACTGTGCCTTTAGCCAGCATCTCATATGGTCACTGGCTCAAGTTCCAGCTACTCCACTTTTTTTTTTAAGATTTATTTTATTATTTTAATTGGAAAGTCAGATTTACAGAGAAGGAGATACAGAGAGAAAGATCTTCAGCTGGTTCAATCCCCCAATGTCCGTAATGGCCAGAGCTGAGATAATCCAAAGCCAGGAGCCAGGAGCCAGGAGCCTCTTCCAGGTCTCCCACACGGGTGCAGGGTCCCAAGGCTTTGGGCCGTTCTCGACTGCTTTCCCAGGCCACAAGCAGGGAGCTGGGTGGAAAGTGAGGCAGCTGGGATATGAACCAGACTCATACAGGACGTGTGCAAAGTGATGATTTAGCCACTAGGCTACTGCAATGGGTCCCACTGCTCCACTTCTGATCCAGCTTCCTACCTATTGAAGGTGTGGAAAAGCAGCAGAGGATGGCTCATGCCCATGGTTCCCCAGTACCCACAGGAGAACTCAGAGAGAGAGCTTCTGGCTCTTGGCTTGGGATCTGCTCAGCTCTGGTCATTGGGGGAGTGAACTAGCGGGCAAAGATCTGTCTTCCTCCTGTGTGACTCTGCTTTTCAAATAAAAAGAATAATTTAAAACATGGCCCTATTGTTTTCTATTTTTAGCTTGTCTTATATGTTTCATTTCTGTAAAACACTGTCCACAATATTAGAATCAATGCCATGACCAATTAGTAGGTCCTAATCCTCAAATTTAAAAACAACACAATAAAATTTAACTTCCAGTTATTTGAGATCTTGATGGAAAAGTGGGGAGTGATCCTGACTGCGGGCAAATTCTTTTTTCAATTGTACTTGCTCCTGTTTTGTAATTTCAAGTTTGGTCCGTCTTTGCACAGCTTTCCCTAGGGTCCTTCCTTGGTCTTCCAGGTTGTACAGACCCTAACTGATGTACTATTCCAACACAGAGTCGACAGACTTACAAAATAGGATGCCAAGCTCTAATTTACTGGGCTTTATCACAGACCAATAAAGTTGTTCAGATCCTTCTAAGAAACTCAACATGAATACAGGGCTACACGTTAAATGTTGGTGCTCTATAGTTGCTTAGACCAGTTTAACTAAGAGGGCTTGCTTTTTCTTTCAAGGTCCAACTCTTGCACTTATTTCCTCAGCACCAAAGAACACAAACAAAACTCTCTCTTTACCTCTCCTTAAAAATGTACTTATTTGGGTCTGATGCTATGGCTCAGTAGCTTAATTCTCGCCTTGTACGCACCAGGATCCAACATGGACGCTGGTTTGTATGCCGCTTCTCCACTTCCCATTCAGTTCCGTTTGTGGCCTGGGAAAGCAGTCGAGGACGGCCCAAAGCCTTTGGACCCTGCACCCACGTTGGAGACCCAGAAGAAGCTCCTGGCTCCTGCGTTAGGATCACCTGAGCTCTGGCCGTGGTAGCCACTTAGGGAGTGAACCAGTGGATGGAAGATCTTTATCTATTTCCTATTTGTAAATCTGTCTTTCCAATAAATATAAATTAAGATGTATTTATTCTAAAGTCAGAATTAGGAAGAGGGAGCAACAAGCGTAAGAGATTGTCAACCTGCTGCTTCACTCCCCAAGTAGCAGCAATTGCCAGTGCTGAGGTAAGCGAGGCGGCACTTCCACAATGTCTCCCAGCTGGGTGCGAGGGCCCTTCCACAGGGTCTCCCAGCTGGGTGCGAGGGCCCTTCCACAGGGTCTCCCAGCTGGGTGCGAGGGCCCTTCCACAGGGTCTCCCAGCTGGGTGCGAGGGGCCGAGCTCTGCTGCTCTCCCTGGACCACCAGCGGGGAGCTGCATCGGCAATGATGCTTCCAGCGGGATGCTGGTATAGCAGGCAGTGGTCCCACTTGCTCTGCCGCTCTGCCGGCCAATTCTTCCCTTGAATGCAAGGCTGGAGGTAAGGGGTACCTGCAGTGCTAAGTTCATTCTAACACCTGAAATGACCTCCTGGGCTTGCGCTAATTTTCTCAAATACAATTCTGTGGTTCTATCAGGATAACTTTCATCTCTCAGACAGGAAATATAATTTTACTTTAGATTTTGCAATCCCCGCCCAGATGAAAACCATACCTCACGCTGGGCATGCCTTGGGTGCTCCAAAGAACTCCTGCCCTAGATGGGCCTGCCAGTAGGCCCATGGCGGATGCCGAACACTTCCGAGGACTGACTATGCTCTCCAACCGAGCTTTCACATGAGGAAGAAAGTACACACTTTCCCTCAGGAGAAACCGAAACGGTGTGGGATTTAAGTGCAGAGGTGTGCGGCACGCCCGGAGCCTCCAGCTCCCTGCCAAGCCCTTTTCCCTGTCTTCCGCGGGGCCGGGCCCGCGTTCCCCTTCCTTCACCTCCTGCGCCAGCCCCTCCAGGCCCGACACCCCGGGGCCGGCCGTCAGGAGAGCGGGCCCCGCACGCCCCGCACGCCCCGCACGCCCCGCGCTCCGCCTCCCTCAGGCCGCCGGCGGCCATGGCGGCCAGGCAGCTCCGCGCGCTGGCGGGCGCCGCGCTCGGCCCGCCACGTCCGACGTCCCTGCGGGCCGGAGCCGGGGTCCCGCGGCCGCTCGGCCTCGCCCTCTGCTCCGCGGCCGGCCGCCCCCCGCCGGGCGGGCCTGAGGGAGCCCCGCGGCGCCCGGCCGGCCGAGAGCTAACCCCGGCGGAGCGGCGGATCGCCCAGCTGCACGCGGCCGCCTGCGCGGTGAGCCCCTCGTCCCCGGCCCGGGTCCTGAGGCGCGCCCGCGCCCCCCGGCTTCCCGCGCTTCGCCCCTAGCCCGGCCCCGGCTTGGAGGCCAAGGACAAAGGATTTGCGGGGTGCCGTCCTGGCTGGGAGGCCAGCTCGCGCCTCCGCGGGGGACACACCGGCCCCTTTGCGCGCGCGCGGCCGGCTGTGCGTGCGCGCGGCTGGCGGGCTGCGCGCGCTCGGGTGCGGGAACGGGGTGTCTAGGCCTGAGAGGAGGCGGTGGTGGGGAATCAGGAAGTCTCAACGTAAATACAGATGCGCTGTACTCACTTAACGCTTCACCGGTCAGGCGTTTTAATACCGACAAGGATGGATAATGTGGTTTCTGTTTTTGCTTTCACTGCTGCTCTCTTGTCCTCTCCCTGCTCCTCACTAAAGGGGTCCACGCTCCCTCCATAGACTCTGTTGGGGTGTTTTCTTTGAGTTTCAGGATCACAAGGCCGCTCCTTAAGCAAATCTAAATTTAGCCCAGTTTCTGACACCTGAGACTGCGTGTGTTTAATGGTAACATTGTTTCTTGATTATTCATTTTCATTATTAGTATTTTTGTTACCTTGACCAAAGAAATTATGCGGTTTGAACACCCTTGAGTGTTCCGGGAGGCACTCTGTGGTGACCGCATCACATTTAGGAGCGCCACGGGAGTCCCTGCTACTCGGCCTCCCACTCAGCTGCCGGCCAGTGTACCCCGCGTGGATGGACAGGATGGTGTCCTGGCCCAGCCCGGGTCTCCTCCCCATTAGGGAGTGAATCCCCGATGGATGGTCTGCCCGCCCTCCCTCTGTCACACAGCCGTGGCCTCAGGCCCACTTTCCCGCGTGCCCAGTCAGGTGCCCTCGTAAAGGGCTGGCAGTGTTAAATGGAAACTCCAAGCCCAGTTCTAAGTTGCTGCTGCTTTTTTGGAACAAATCACCACACCTCAAGGCAGATGGTCCTCCCTGCGCCGAGGGCGGCCACTGTCCATCCTGCTCAGCTACTCCAGACACAGGCTTTGTACGAGAAGTTCTGACTCTGGTTTTGGAGCGGTGTTTAGGGCCCCCAGATGTGTGTGATGGGCTTCTGGATGGGGCCCCGAAGCCTGGCCTAGCTTTGCTGGAGTGCCCTGAACTTCTACTTCCTGTGTCATGGAAAAACTTCAATCACAGTAAAATATTCTATTGCTAAATAAGACATTGAGGAAGATGGCCGAGGCTCATTCAAAAGTGATGCTAGAAGACAGGCAAGTTCTGCATGTGTTTCAATGAAAAGGGTTTCTAGAGAGTCACCGCAATGTAAAAAGGTTATAAAAAGTCCATGAGGAAGTTCTACTGCAAACTCAGGTGTGAGAAATATCACCCAGAAGACCCATATCGTCAGAGGAGACTGTGCTATTTGTACCTTCACCAAAAGTAAACTGTGTGTGTGCCTTGCTCAGATGTAGCCGTAGAGTATGCTTCCTTGGAATATTTCAAAGGATATAATAAAAAGTTGCTTTTGATCAAACCTGTGCAAGCAGCGAGTGCCAATATGTTGAAATAATACTTTTTTCATTTAAAAATAGAACATTCTAAAAAAAAAAAAAAAAGGCCGTAGTATAAAATGTGCAATAGAATAACACGTCATGAAAGCAAAGAAGTGTTCCATAATAGCAAAGGTAGTACTTCTCCGTAAGCACGGTTGGTTTTCATTAGCACCCTTTCTGTACATTTAAATCATTATCCACATATTTTAAGTACTGAAATTACAACTGCAACTTCTGAGTTCATTTTCAGCCTCTTAAAATCTTAAAATCATTTAAATCACCTGTTATTAAGCTTGTTACCTAGAAACCAAATGAAAAATATCAGAGGAGTGGCTGCACAGTTATTGGGTATAAGGGACTTCTTGTTTTTCCATCAACTTCTCATTTTTCTCAAACTGTATATTTTCTCCTTTAGTCACATAAAGTTGGATTGTGTACAATGTCAGATTGCATTCAGGCTTTAATTGCGAGTGCCACTATAATTGTGGGGAAGAAGGTTAATATTGCTTAAAATATTCTTTTACGGTATTTTATGAGCAGACATTATAGTGAGGAGATATGATGAATACAGAAATGAATGAATTGTTTTATTGCTCTTTAGGCTGGCCAGCTAAATTATGTGGATCCAGCTACTGGCTATGTGGTGCTCACAGAGCTCGCCCACTTGCAGAGAGGTGAATGCTGTGGCTCTGCGTGCAGACACGTGAGTACCAATTCTCGCATTACAGCTGCAGTCTGTGGTGCTTCTGAAACTTCATAAATACCTATTATTTGAACAACAAGTCAAATAAAAAAGCAAAATAGACCTGGAGTGCAGTTTTCACAAGCTGCTTTAGCCAAGGGTGATGAAGTCCTTAATGCCAACACAGGACCTTTAAAGTTAATGGAATTTTGTAACGTTTCGCTGTGAACATCAGTTCCTTAAACTCTATGATTTAAACTTCATGGGAGCTCTTTATTAGAAGGAAACTTTTCATGAGGTTTACAATACGTTGTGTTCACTAGGCAGATGCAGAGGGGCAGGGCAAGAAATCTAGAAGGTTGCAGACTGGATCCTAGAGAGAATTTTCTTCATTATTAGCTGAAAGCATTGAAACTTGCCCAGGACTAACAGATAGTGACCTGTTTCCTCCCTCCCTCTTTCCCTTCCTTCATCCTTTCATTCCTTTCTTCCCACTCAGTCTCTTCCCTCCCTCCTTCTGTCCTTTCCTCCCTGTCACTTCTTCCTCTCTATCCCTTTTCTTTCTCTGTCTCCTTCTGTGATTCTTCTCAAGTTTCTGTTTAAAATTATGGGGAAGCTGAATGACCCAAATTTAGTTAATGCTGAATATTTCTTACAGGGTTCCTTTCAGTGGATACTCTGCTTGTTAATGTAAATGCTATTTGCTCCTTCCTTTATTTGAACAAAGAATAAATGGAAATGCATTCTTCCCTATTTTTATTCTATTTTCAATGGAATGGTAGTAAGGTAAATGCTATGAAGTTAAGATCATAAGCACAAGTAAGTTCTGTTTACAAAACACCTTGTATGTGTGATGAAATAAGTTGCTACACTACACTAACTACATGTAAGTTTTAGCCATTGTTGAAAAATTAAAATCTAATGGCACCAGTACCTGTGCCATTAGCTATTTCTAATCAAACATATAAGCTTTTTGCATAAATTGAGGACTTGAGGGTTTTTAAGAGTGCATTTTTGACAGTAAAATTCTTAAAGTTGGAAGGATGCATTTAGGAAATGGTTCGTGAACCTTAATTAGGACCACTTGCCTGAGGATGCCATTATTCTCTTCTAAATCTGCAGGACCCGATAGATCAAATGTTCTATATAACCTTGTTAACAGTCTCCTTTGTTCATGAGAAGTGTGCTCACACAGAATGATGATTAAATAATTCAATCATAATGTCTTTTTTTTTTCTGCAGTGTCCATATGGTCAAGTCAATGTTAAAGATCCATCTAAAAAGAAGCAATTCAATTCATATTTTTATGTTTGACAACAATTTCATACTCTGTTCTCTATTTAATTGGAGCTGTATTTAAAAAAGAAGAAAGTCCTAATCCAGAATTGCTCCCTGTGCTGCTGGGATTCTAGCACCAAGTTAAACTTAAATACTGACATTAAAAGAGCATCAATAAAATTAGAAAAAAAAAAGCTAACAAATGTTTTTGTGTTTTTAAAGTGACATAGTGATAGTTATTTTCCTTTCTTTTGCTTCATGATCAGACACATATGTTGAAGAAAGAAAATAATGACTGCTCAAGAAAAAAAAGCAGCAGTCAGGTCACGTTGGAAGCTCTGGGCTTCTCTTAGCCTCGGTTGTCCGGTTCTCCTCGTGGGTTGGGGATCCCAGGAAGGTTGCTGGCACGTAGGAGTGCATTGCCCCTTTTATTTCTGCCTTGAGCTTTAAGGGTGTTGATATGATGTTATCATGTGCAGCCTGAGTACACAGGAAGTACCATCGTGCTTCAAGAAACGCTCTCGTCTCCCATCTGTTCCTTTCAATGAAAACTTTACATCATCTTGACTTAGGGTTCAGGCCACTGCAGAAGCCTGGCTGGGACCCTGGTCCTCCCTTCCCTCCCCCACCCGTTCTTATTCCATTCTCTTGGGGCTTCCAGGGCAAAACTAGTTTTGAATGCCTCCTCAGTTTCCCAGCCTTCTCTTGACTGTACTGATGTACTGGGTGTCAGTCTCTTAGCTGTATGAGCCGCTTTTCCTCCACCTCTGCTCCGCAAGGGGGGCAGCCACTGCCCCCTCCCCATGCACCCCACCCTCCCCCCACCCCCAGCCCTTTCTTAGCCAGTGGAAGTTGTTCATAAAAGTGGAAGGCCGGCTTTGTCTGGCTCTGACCTCAGCTTTTCCTGGGGCCTATCAGAAAGCCCCCCTCCCCACCCCCCAGCACCTTAGGGAGCTGCGTCAGACTCCGCCTCTGGCCAGAATAAACTTAAGCCACCAAAGGTTCTGCTTTGTTATTTATTCAGAATAAAAGTCAACTGTGAAACAACTGAAAAGACCAGTAAGGTTCAGGTTTTCGCCTGGGTTATGCCTTCAGCTATTGTTTGTTTAAAGAGGAATACCGAATTGTCTCTAAAAGTTGTTGGCGTTCAGGCACCCCAGTTGTTCTAGTGGGAAAAACTAAGCAACATCCCCAGGGATCTCTTCAGGTGTCAGCAGTGTTCTAGAATGCCAAAGAGCAGTGCTTGTGGCCTAGGACTGTCCAATTCAGAAATTACTTTGAGGGAGGGAGTGAGAGAAGGGGATTGTAACCAGGAAGCAGTAATTCCCAGCAAGAAGAATGGGTGGGGGGCAGGGTTCCGTTTCATTAAGTCAGGGAGTCACCACCTAGGCGGTTGTTTTTCACTAAATTTGGTAATTGACAAGACGACTTTGGGGTGCTGGATGTTAAGTGCTTCCTGGAGGGAGGAGAGAAGGAAAGTGGATCTTAAAAAGAGGTAATTCTGGAGCTACAAAGACAAGGAAAAGAAGTTCATTTGTGGGTTGAAAAAGCTTAGGGCGGGTGGAAGGAACTGGCAGCAGGCGTGCTTGGAGTTTCCTTTACTCCTGACAGGGCATTGCTCGCAGTCGGGAACTGGATCGGCAAGTAAGGAAAACGTCCAAGTCCATCGCTTAGGACCCTTAGGCAAGAGGCTGCGGGTTCCTCGCGGCAAAACCTCAAACCTTACCGGCAACCACGGCAAGGGAGCCAATGGGGGTTTGGGGGTGGGGAGCTGGAGGACAGACAGATCTGGGGGCGCTCTTGTTCCTTACTGTGCCTGGAGCACCAGCGGAGGTGTGCAATCGGCTCTGCGGAGGAACGTGCAAGGCGCAGTCAGGGGTGGCAGCAGGGCGGGTGTTCCCACAAGAAATGCACCGTGGCCACATAAAGGGACCTCGCTGCCAGGGCTTTGACGCACCATTCAGGTTTCTTACTGGGTGTATGTGCACAAACGCCTGTGGCTACTGAAACAAGCAGACATCCCAGCGTGAGTCACCCTGGGGCCGCTCCGTTTTCATGGTTTCTGGAGACCCTCTTCTCCACCAGTGTAAAATCAAGAGAGATTTCTTGATTCTTTCCAACACTGAAGACTCATCCCAAGGGAAACAACGGGACCTAGTTGAGTGGGTTCCCGGGCGCTGGTGCTTCGTGGGGTCCTGAGTCCTCTTGGCAGGTGTATCTCTGCCCACAGTCCTCTCCCACCAGGAGCCACACTGCACCCCCACCCCGTGCCCCCACTGTGCTAAGCAAGGAAAAGAGGGGCTTTCATTCCCCCTCCCCAGTAAAATATAGAGCTCCCAAAAAGGGTGTGTTGGGAACACGGGCCTGGAGAAGCAGACGCACGGCCTGGGTATCAATCATTGTTCGGACCCAGCGACCCTCTGCATGGGGCTCGCAGTCTGTTCCACGCCAGATCCCCAGGGGGCTTAGATCCTGAGGATGGTGGAGAATGAAGTGGCTACCAGCCATGTGGACAAAGGCCGTGTAGCTTCCTCCCTTGAGCACGCTGATCCCACGCACGCACTCACCCCGTCAGCCTGGAATGCGACATTCCCTGCCCACAGCTGCCATTTGGAGCGAGGGTTTGAGTCTGAGGCCTGGACTCGTTATCTTTTGCTGAAGGATTCAAACCCTTCAAACCTCACTGCTATTTTTTTTTTTTTTTTACCTCCTCGAAACAATTAAAAGCGTAGGGCAAACCACCCTCTCCTGGGGAGGGGGAGATAAAAGAAAAAAAAAGATGTTTAAGTGTGTGTTGGGGGTGGGGAGGCATGTCCCTGTGTAGAGTCTAATGGGTTGGGGGAGGCTGTGGAGAAGCCGAAGCTGTCCTTAGGACTGGTGGATTCCTCGACGCCCGGCCTGCCTAGAGACCCTTGGATGCCGCCAGGCTACTCCCAATGCTGACTTGTCCCTTGTCCCCAAACCTGTCAGATGCGCAGCCTTGCTCCCTGGGACCGGGGCGTGAAAGTGTGAACACTGAGAATCGCGGGTTCTTGGAGGAATGGAAGTTCCGTGCCCACCGAGATTGAGGCGGGCGAAAACGCAAGCGCGCCCGGTTGGGTTAGGGTTAGGGTCGCTGTGGTTTTCAAACAACCGGCACAGCCAGTGGCACCCACCGAAAGGTTAGAACCAGCAGCCTGGAACCTGGATGAGTCAAGGGCACCCACACAAGCGCGCTTTCGGCTGGCTCAGCTGTCTGTCCACGCCGTGTCCTCGCCTAAGAGCTGAACAACTGAAAGCTGGCGCTGTCCGTTTCAGGCTGCGAGAACTGACCCAGAACGGGTGGCGGATGCGGAGTTGGAAGCCTGGGTGGCGGGGAGGGGGCACAGTTGGGAAAGGGTCCTAACAGGTAAACCGGGGGTGGGAGCTGATGGTTGCTGGGACCTGTCGGGGTGGCCGAGTGTGCGACCAGGACGAGGGACTCCCAGTCTGGGTGCCCAAAGAGAATTACCAAAATTGGGATGGAAAGGGAAAGCCAGGGATTTGGGATTCACTGCTCCGGGTTTGTCCCTTATCGCTCCCTCCCCCGACCCCCACGTGTGCTGAGGAGCTGGGGCCGCTGTCAGCGTGGCAGCGGCCACCAGCGCCGGGCCCCACGTGCCGCTGCCAATCCCACGCGCCTTTCGCCGGGCGGGGAGGTGCGCAGGCGCCCCCAGGCCGCCGCTCCCCGGGCCCACGCACGGCGACGAGCCGCGATGGTGGCACAGGGGGAGGGGCGGAGAAGAGGGGAAGGCGGCACCGTGGCAGGGACCCGCATCCCGGTGCGGCCAATCTCGCGGCTCACGCCCCCTCCCCGCCGACTCCGGAGCCTGGCAGGAATCCTCCCCCTCTCGGACTGTGAGGGGCACATTGGGTGGGGGGTGGGTAAAGCACCGACCAGAGGCCCGGCTGCCCGCTTCTCTGTCCACTTTCCAGCGGTCCCTCGGGCACCTGAGACCAGGTAACAGGGCTCTCGCCCCGTCCCGGGTCTGGCTCCGACCCGGCGAGTATGGGTCGGCCAGGGTTGGAGTGCAGGGTTCCTCCCCGAAGGTTAACTGCCACCCCAGCTCCTAGCTCAGGCCAGAAGAGGAGAAACGCCCCGGGCCCCACGCCGCCACCGACCCAGTGGCAAAGGCTTTCCAAAGTGCAGCGCTCCAGCCACCCAGCTCTGGAGCGCAGAGAGCAAGGGCAAGATAAGGAGGAGGAGGTGGGGAGGCAGTGGGTGCGCCATCAATGCCGGGTTTTCCCGCAGCAGCTACAGGCACCAGCTGGCGGCAGCATCTTTCAGGTGCAAGCTCTAGGAAGGTAAAGGCTGGCTGGGGGCCGGCAGCCCAGGGGCGCCGCGGGGCTCCGGCTCCACAGCCTCCCCCACCCTCCCGCCTGCTGCGCCCCAGCCTCCAGAGGCTCCCGGCTTTACGAGGTTCGGTTGCCGCCGAGTCCTCCATTAACACCTCCTCCGCTTGTTGGGAGACTGGAAAGGCTGCTGGCAGCCCGAGAGCCTGTCTGCGGGTACCGACCGGCCCGGGGGGCCTCTGCCCACTGGTTTTTTCTCCCCGACTCCTCCCCCATCAGGAAGCATAAACAGAAAATAAAAGACAGGTGGAGGTAGGTGAGGGGTCAGAGGTGAGGGATTCAGGTCAATGGGGGTGGGTAGAGGATTCATTTTAGTGAAATGGTTTATTTTATTTACTGGGATTAACAGCGGAACCCTCGGCAAGAAAGCGGGGACTGATTGGCCCGAACCCCTGGCCGCTGCCTACAGCCGTCCGTCGCGGAAAACCAAATTCTTGGGACACCTGACATCTGGACCTCAAGGTAAGGTCCCTCTGCGGGGAGGTGGAGGGGAGGGGGACAGAGGATGTGCCTGGTCACAGCAGCCCTGTGCCCTTCCCGTGTGCCAGTACGGTCAGGAGCCCCGGGGGAGTCCCCGAGGAAGGCTCGGTTCTGCCGGAGGAGGTGTCCACGGAACCCCCGAGTTGGACGCTCCGCGTTGGATGGGAGGAGGCGCCTGGGGAGCCCGGCCACACACCCGGCTGACGCGCGCACGGCTTCTCTCCACCAGCGCCACCAGCACCAAGGCGCAAGCGGCCCCTCGGTTCTGAGAATGCTGAACGGCACCGCTCTCGAGGCAGGTGAGTGAGACGCCGACCGCCTTCTCCTTCCCTCTCTGCCTCTTACTGGGGCCGAGGCGCGCGTGTATCTCTACACGCATGTGCCTGCCTCGGTGAGCCGTACTGAAGGGGTGCGTGTGTGTGTCTGTGTTTATCTTAAAAAGGAAGCTGTTCTTCGTAGGCTCGGGAGTACAGTCTCGTTCAGGGTCTCATGACAGGCAGGATTCCTGAACCTTGCGCTTCGCCTGGTTTGACTTTACTCTCCAGAGTCTTTGACTTTGCTCGGGATGTTAGGTCCCCGACGCAGGGCGGAGGTCTCGGTGTCACAGCACCTCGGAGCGTGAGGGGCGCACTCCTGACCGTCGGAGGGAGAACCGGGCTGCCAGCGATGGAAGAGAGCCCGGGAAAACCCCGTTTCTCCTTCTGGCAACCAGGGCTTACCTGGAAACTGGCGTTCCCCGCATTGTTTTGTGGCTGCTATTTAGTCCTATTCCAGTGCAGCCGTTTACGCGTGTGATCTCCAAGAATGCCGCCTGGACCTGTCCCTTGGCTTGGGGGGTGGGGGGCGCATCCCTTCTCGGGCACTGAGCCTTCAGATCTTAGAAGCGCCCAGTTCTCCCATCGGCTGCCCCGAGCTAGAAGAACTCAGGTGCCAAGGAGGACGGGAGTTTGTCCGGGTGAGCAGCCAGCTGGAGGCTTTGCGGGTGCTGACGCCTAAAGCGCGCTTGAGCTTAGGGCCACTGCGGGAGATTACCAGCGGGACTGGTGGGTGGACAGCAGCCAGCCGCTTTTTCCAGGCAATTAATACCCGCCCTACCCCTCCGGCCGCAGCTCCCATCTGTTTTAAAGCAGGCAATGGTACTTGAGAATGGATGGGTCACTCCCCGGCGGCAGCACCAGTCCGACCCGCCAACTTGGGGTTTTGTTCCCGAAGAATGTTCTGTCTCCCTAAACCTCGGTCCTTCCCGACTGGCCAAATTGGCGCCTTCAGCGCAGTGAGGGCATCCGGGGGCCAGGGCTGGGTTCCCAGTGTCAGGGCCACGCCACTGACTTTCCCTGGGTCACAGCGTGCTCCCCAAAGTGCCAAAAGGCCGAACTCCGTTCCAAGAGTTGTGCGTTTGGGTCCAGAGGGGCCCTTGGGCCTGCTTAATAGTGACTAGAGGAAAGGGCAACCTCAGGGCCTCCAGGTGACTCGGCTGTTGCGGGGTGATTTCCCCCGCCCAACTCCAAAAGCTCTGTCACCTTGTGCACTTGGCGAGACACAGCTACCCTCCTCTTCACTCTGGAGATGATACTGGTCTGGGCCCCCTGTCCAAGTGGGCGCTCGTTACAAGGATGACACCTTCTACTGTATCCTCATGGAGCTTCCAGGATCCCAAACCCTCTCCACCCTCCGGTCCTCTGCCCCTTGGGCTTCAGCCCTCAGTTATCCCAAAGCCTGACAGTGCTGGCAGAGCTGATGGGTTTTCTATACTCAGCTGTGAGAGAGGACAGTTCAGAGGAAGGAACCTACCTCCACTGCTCCTAGGAAAAACTCTAGATTCAAGATAGCATGAGGCACTATCCTGGGAGAGACTCCACAGAGCTCAATGCACCTGTCCCAGTGATGGTGTGTGTGTGTGTGTGTGTGTGTGTGTGTGTGCGTGTGTGTGTGTGTGAGAGAGAGAGAGAGAGAGAGAGAGAGAGAGAGAGAAGTTAGTACTCTGACTTTTATGAAACACTTGCTGGCCATTCAGCCAGAGAGCTGGGAGATGGAGGGCTTCCTGTCCCCAGTGCCTGGCCACGGCCCCTCCTGGGGAACTGCCAGGCATCTGTAGAAAGGCAGCTACCAAGATCTCACTTTATTTAAAAATGTTTGTCTCTGGAGAGCAGGGAGGAGTTGGGGCAAAGAGAAACTCCTGGCCCATCTCCCAGGGCTCTGGAACCTCAGTGCTTAGGACACCCATGCCTCTGCTCCTCCAGCTTCCTCCAGCAAAACTGCTGAGAGAGAGGCTGAACAAATGGGAAACTGCTTCCACAGGAGTAACAGCACCTCCCAACCCCAGCAGCCCCCTTCATCCCCACCAGCCCCCCAGCTTTCTGTAAGCTTCCTGCATTTGCTGGGAAGCAGGAATCCTGGCAGTTTGCTTCTTTGGGGGAAGTAGCAAGACTCCCTGGGTGGGGGAAGTTAGAACTAACTTGAGTTTTACAAGAAAGAACAGTCCTGGCTGGGATTCTACTTGGGGAACTGAGTGCCCTGCCGGCACGCACCTGACAGATGGTGAAAGAACTCTGTGTGGGGGCACAGGAAGGAATGAATGAGTGGATGAATGAATGTAGGTCTGTAGGTGCCTCCTGTTCCCACACTCCCGCTTCTTCCTGGACTTTGGTAACTTTTGCTCTACAAAGTCATCTGTTGCAAGAATGGAGAACGTGTGCCTGGGTCCCCCCCCCCCCCCGCCTTTTTAAAAATTTTTCCTGTGGAGCAGTACCCAAATCCAACCACTACCAAACCTGACTGCATTGAAGGGAGAAGGGAGGGTTTGGTTCAGAAACTTAACCATGTGGTATGGAGGTGCGGGGTTTTGAGGTGCCTAAGATTAACCGACTGCGTTTTTCTCCCAGCGCCTCCCAGAGCTCCTGGGCTGGGTGGCTCAGCGGCTGTTCCTCGGGCTGTTCCATTGTGCAGGTGGCTCTGAAGTGGCCCAGCCCGGCTTGGCCGCGCCCTGGCGATGCGCACGTGGGTCTGAGAAGTGCATTCACTTCCATCCAAAATGGGCTAATTACATTACTCTCAGTAAATAGTTGCTCCGCTGTCTGGTGGGGCCGCCCGTGTGGGGAGGGGGCTTTCTTCAGCTTAGTTCACTTGATTGGCTTCATTTTTGTGTGAAATTGTGTTTTATGAGCTGCGTTCTGGCACCCGGAGGACCTTCACAGCGCCCAGTCTGCAAATAACATTACTTTTTTACCCTGAGGGAGGTGGGGGCTGAGGAAGGGAGTGGGTGGAGGACTAGGGTAGGTTTGGACTTGCTGGAAGAGCAGCCAAAGTGGAGCACAGGCCGAGGCTTCGGAACGGAGGCGCCCCGTTGCACCCCGTGCTCCCGCCTGTCCTCGCGGCTCCCCCCTCCCCCTGGCTCTCGCTCCCCTTTTGCTTCCATTCTTTTCCTTCTCTCTCCTCCCCCTCCTTCATCTTTCCAGAGTTTGGCCGCAACTCCTGGTCGGGCTCCCCCGGGTGGAGGCTACCGGGTCTGCGGCCACACTGCCAGGACCTGCCAGGGCCCGCCAGGACCGGCTTCCTGCAGTTCCCCGGGCAGGCGGCGAGGAGCAGCTATAGGCGCGCTGGACCGCGAGCTGGGGTAGAGGCGGGTGGGCTCCGGCCGCCGCATCTCGCTGCAGGGCCCCGCAGGGGTGGGGGAGCACGGCGGGTCGTTTGAATGAATAGACAATATCAGAGTATTGTGGCCACTTTAATGGGGCCGGGGAGTGGCTGCGGCTCGCCGGAATGCACGGCCACTGAACAAGCCAGGCTCTTGTGAGGAGAGGGTCTGCCGTGGGGGGCTCGTCACTTCTCACCTTCCTCTCCTCCTCCTCCTTGCACGCCGCCCGAAGTGCGCCGTGCGCCCAGCTTTACAAGTCCCCACTGGGGCCCGGCCCGAGAACAGCTCCCTGGAGTCCACGCAGGCGAATCTCCAAAGGAGGGAGGGCGGGAGGACAGTAGGACCCCCTGCACTGCCCCACCCCAAGCCTGAACTGGGTCAGAGGGGACAAACCACCAGAGATTAGGGTCCAGGAGTTTGAGAGGCCACGTCCAGTTCCCCACAATGTAACTTTTAAAAAGAAAGTCTTTTCTTTCTTTCTTCTTCTTTTTTTTCCTCGCAAAACCAACCTCCCAACACACGGGCTCTGCCAACGGGCCCTTTTGGCTTTGGGGAACGCTGCAGCTCCTGGTAGGGTCCTGAGTCCCGGAGGGGTGCGGGGGAGGGGGAGGGAGGGAAATGGACTGTCAGACATCCGCTTTTGACAACCGACTTGGGAAGGCTGGGAGGACTGGCACGGCAGTATCCCCAGAGCAGCACGGAGCTTCGCTGCCTGCCCCGGCGGGTGGATTTTGGGTAGTGGTCTGCACGAGGACTGGGGCTGAAGAGGTCGACCCGGGGCTGAGGCTGGGCGGGGCGGGGATGGGGGTAGGACGGGAACACGAAGTTTGCGCTGGTTGTTCTGCGTGCCTCAACTGGGGTCCAATCTAGAACTGGGATCAAACAGGCCTCCTTAGCTGGGCGGGGACAATAGGGGTTCTTTCCCCCCACCCACCCTTTTCAGACGCGAAGACTGAGAACTCTTGGAAGCGTGGTGTTGTGTGTACGAGTGCGCGCTCGCGATGCCGGGAAGTAGATGCCCCCTCCCCCCTCTATCCCCCACCCCTTTGTAATGTTTGTCCCCGCTTGCCCATCACCAGGGGGTTGAGAGGAGTATGACAGGTCTTTGTTGTCTGAATAAAAATCCGTGGCAGCTCCAGGGAGAGAACTCCTCCTACTAAATTATCAAAAATGGGCTGGCTTTAGTCTCTTAACAAATTGGACACAGCTCCGGTAGGAGCAGTCCCCAACCCAACCTACCGTCACCGGGAACTTGCAAGCAGCCGGGAATCCGCTGAAAATAGCTCGCTCAATCTCTCTCTCTCTCTCTCTCTCTCTCTCTCTCTCTCTCTCTCTCTCTCTTTCTCAACTATTTTCTTACTCAACTAGATATTTTGTTTTCCTGCCCCCGCCCCTCAGTTGTTTCCCCATCAGTAACTCGATCTCCACGAGGCGAAAGATTCGCTGTTTTAGCCCGCTTTTCCTCCGCCGCCCGTATTTGTTTGTTTTCTGCACAACTCCTTTTGGGAGCCGCCGGGGCTCCTTCCCCTCCCTCTTTTGGGGGTTCTTTCCCCCACCAATTTCTACTCTGTCTGCCTCTTTTCTTCTTCCCTGTCTCCCTCGAGCCCTCCGTGCCCGGGCACCTCTGCCCTCCTTCAGCGCGCGCGCAGCGCTCTGCGGTCCCGGCCGCTGCTTTCCTTCGGATGAGCTGAGAGCCGCAGGCGTGTGTGTATATGGAAATAGTGGGCTGCCGAGCGGAAGACAACTCGTGTCCCTTTCGCCCCCCAGCCATGCTCTTCCACGGGATCTCCGGAGGTCACATCCAAGGCATCATGGAGGAGATGGAACGCAGATCCAAGACCGAGGCCCGCCTGGCCAAAGGCGCCCAACTCAACGGCCGCGACGCGGTAAGCACCGGTCCGGGGCGCAGCGCAGCGCGCAGCCAAGCGTACAGGTCTGGCCCATGGAGATGGGGACTGCAGGTTGTAGGGTCGTCTGTCCCTTTGGGCTGGCGCGTGAGTTTCCTGCAGCCCGCCTGGGTTTGCAGGGTAAAAAATGGTAGCCTTGCTGACTTGAAAAGTCTCCATTACTGAGACACCCCTCCACTCCCCACCCCGCAGCTCGCTGCCATCTGTCCCGGTGCTTCCTGAGCGTGCGGACAAGTCGGAGGCGGGAACAGGACGGTGGCCTGTGCTACAGACCCCACAGCACAGCCCCGAACTCTAGCTGGGCCCGGGAATACTGCGCGCCATCGAGGCAATCGGGCGAGTGGGGCCGAACTCCAGCGGTTCTTAGTCTCAGAGCCCGTCAGCCCAACCTTTGCAGTGGCCTCGGGCGCGGCTGGGCCACCTCCAGCTCTGCACATACTCGGGACTCTGCACCCCGGAGATTTTTCTTTTCCAGGCTCTTCCGTTTCCTAACGAATTCCCCTGTCAAGGCTGCGTGGGGTGTCCTGTGTACCAGGAAATCAAACAAAAAATGCGGATGAGCGCGGCGTGCGCTCCAAACGCAAAACAGAAAAACAAAACCTTTCTAACCCTGAACCAAGGTAATGAACCCACTAACGCTGCTCCATAGCGCAGCCACAAACGTCACATCCCTTGAAGGAAAATTACTCGATAGTCTTTCATGCGCGCCCCCTAAATGCTTAGGAACTGGAAGGCAAGGACCACTCAGGTCTCCGCACAAGATTCGGCCAGACGGAGCTGAGTAGATTTTTTTTTTTTTTTTTTTTTTTTTTGGTCGCTCGGCGGGGAACTGAAGCTCTTACTACGCCTGGAGCCTATTCTATCCTGGTGAACCCTGTGCTGGGTCCCGCCAAGTACGCGTAGGCGGTGGAAGCACATTTATGCTGGCAATAAAGATTTAGGGTCCTTGGTCTGGAGTAAGAGGCAAAACTCGATTTTTCTCGGTCTATCTGAGTTTCCTGCTCAGCACATCATTGTTAGTCTCCCCACCTTCCCCCGGAGGAAGGGCCAGAGAATAAATTTGGTTTCCCTGTGGTGGTCATCCTGTTTACAAACAACAACAAAAACCAAAAGGGCGCCAACCCAACCAAACCCGAATTTCTCGGAGGGCCTGGCTTTCAAGATGAGTTTACCATCCTTGATTTGTCAGTGAGGAACCAGGTGTAAGTTCAACTGAAGGGATTTTCTAAGCCAAAGATATCCCAGCATGCTGATGCCAAGGAACAGAGCAGTCAGGCAAAGGGGATGCGACCATGGCACTTGGCTAGAAGCAGTTATTTTGCCCCTTAACTGTGAACAGAACCGAGGGTTTTGAAAGTTCGGGAGCGCCCAGATATACTTGATGCCGCTCTATCTCAGCCAGAACAGCAAACAACGTCTTCCTTTGCTTTTGAGTTCAGGGTTGCCCATAGGAATTTGGAAAAATGTAATTGTGATACTGTGTTTGGTTCTGGGTAAAAGACAATCTGAGCTAGTCCAAATTTATTTTTTTTCTCTCTCCAATCACATTTTTCCAGCAGTGGAAAGCTACTTTACTATTATTTTTTAAGCTTGTAATTATTCAAATCCGAGAACATCCACCAAACTGTGGACAATTCGCCGCAGATCTTCTGTAAACGATATTCAGGATGGCATGTATGTCTTTGGGTGCCTAGTCTGCGCAGACAGCGAGGAACAGGCCCAACCGGGAGAGAAGGCCAGCGTCTTCGCTGACACCAGTCTCTGCTCTGTGGCACAGGACCCCGCGGCGGGCGCTCCGAGTGCGCCGGGCCTGGCGACCCCGGGTGGAGGAATCCCGCGTGCTGCACCCGCGCGCCCCGAGGCTCAGTCTTGAGCCTCAGTCTTGAGCTCAGTCTTGAGCAAGACTCTGTGCTTGCCTTACAGGGCATGCCCCCGCTCAGCCCGGAGAAACCCGCTCTGTGCGCCGGTTGTGGGGGCAAGATCTCCGACAGGTACTATCTGCTGGCAGTGGACAAACAGTGGCACCTGCGGTGCCTGAAGTGCTGCGAATGTAAGCTGGCCCTGGAGTCGGAGCTCACCTGCTTCGCCAAGGATGGCAGCATTTATTGCAAGGAGGATTACTACAGGTACCCCCTCCCGCCAACCCCATGCGCCCTCCCCCCGCCCCTTTTTTGGCACACCTGGAGAGGGCCACGTGCCTGAGCACGGATTACCTGCTCCATCCTCCATCTTCGTCCCTTCGAGTTGTGATTGCCAGCCCCAAGTCTGGGGAAAGCCGCTGTGCCGCTGTGTCTCCGGGAAGAGGGTGGGGAGCAGCGGGAGAGGGGAATCTCCCGCTCTCGAGACGGGTGCTTGTGCTGCGGACGCTACGGCGCGCGGCTGCAGGCATCTGTAAAAAAGGAAGTGGACTTGTCTGCGTCCGCCCAGTCCAGAGCGTCTTTTTGTTTGATTTTTTTTTTCCGCTTACTACGAACTGAGAAAGTTGTGCGCCTTGGGTTTGAACCTGGGTCGCGGGCAGAGGCGCCGATGTTAGGTTTTAACTCCGGTGGCAGCTGGCAGCAACCTCAGCCGCGGGCGAGTCGGTGGCTTCTCCCTTTTGGCAAAGGCCAGATCATCCGCAGGCGACCCAGTTCCACTCCTGGCTGAGACACCAGAGGTGGTTTAAATCAAAATTGAAGGTTCCTCTGCCAAACCTTGCGTCTGCGTAGGCACAAGGCGAAGTGAAGGCACTACTTTACTTTACCCTGGCAATATTTTGCAATTGATGTGGCGTGTTCATGTGGCATTGTAACTTAATATTCTTTCGGTAGGGCCATGGGGAAGATTGCTCGGGCTTTTGTTTTAAGCATACACACACAGAGAGGCACAAAATCTCCACTTTACACGAAAGGAAGATGGGGCTGCAGCCCAATTATTCTTCTGATCTTAATGTAAGGATTCTTTGGCTTATTCTTATTCTTTGTCTTACTCACCAGGAAATTGAGCTAAACCAAGTGGCCCGCCAGACACCCACCTGCCTTCCAAGTCTCGGGCTTGGATCACTCCATGAACCCAGGCATCCAGGGCGGGAGACACCTGCCTCTAGTCACCCAGATCCCTGACTTATTTGTTTCCTTCCAGAAGGTTCTCTGTGCAGAGATGTGCCCGCTGCCACCTTGGCATCTCTGCTTCTGAGATGGTCATGCGCGCCCGAGATTCTGTCTACCACCTGAGCTGTTTCACCTGCTCCACCTGCAACAAGACTCTGACCACGGGCGACCATTTCGGCATGAAGGACAGCCTGGTATACTGCCGCGCCCACTTCGAGACCCTCTTACAAGGGGAGTACCCGCCGCAGCTGAGCTACACGGAGCTGGCGGCCAAGAGTGGTGGCTTGGCCCTGCCCTACTTCAATGGCACTGGTACGGTGCAGAAGGGGCGACCCCGGAAGCGGAAGAGCCCGGCGCTGGGAGTGGACATTGTCAGTTACAACTCAGGTGAGCCCAAACCAGAGCCCCGGGCACCCCTGTCCCCTCACCACTTCAGCTGCCCAGGCCCGAAGGAGAGCTCCTTCCAGGCCAAGGTCTGGTTACCTCCTAGGCCACGCGCTGTTGCACCCTCTCCTTCTGTGAAAGGTAGAGGAGGAAAGGGGAGAAGTGTGGGGGGTCGGGCCAGCACGGGCAGCGCACTCACTGGGGGTTGTGGTGATTTCCCCCAAAGACGCAGAGCCAAATCCTGGTTGCCCATTAGTTAATGAGCCCATTAGTTTCTGGCTCCCAGTTGGAGCAAAACAGCCTCAGGGCAATTCCTTTGTGGGAGCCAAATTATAGATCCTGGAGGAGGTTTCCTAAATCCTCAAGGGGAACAAAAAACCTTCAGAACCCAATCCCGGTCTGTGAAAGGGGGCAGAGGCTGTGGTCCCCAGCCCAAACTTAATCAGGAACGCAGTTGGCAAAGAGTGTTGAACCATCCAAGCCCTGGTCTTGGAAAACAACAGCTGCAGGGGAGGGAGTACTGGTCCCTCTCCACCGTCTTCCTAGTCATCCGGAGTGGAGCTTGGCTGGCTGAACGGTCCCAGGTCAGGCCCGCTGGGGACCTGAGCCTAGCTGCTCCTTTGTCTCTGGTCATTGAAAACAAACACAGGGAATGGAATGAGAGTACACTTTTCCACTTATTTCCAGAACATGCCCAGCATTTGACAGTCAGTTTCTCCCAGGTGAGGATGCTGAAGAACCTCCTTGACTGTACTCTTCTTGTGAGTCTTGGCTACTGTGAATGTGGGGACCCCAGAAAGTCCTGGCTGGCTTTTGACAGTCAGGTGGACCTTAGCTGCATTCAGAAAACAAGAGACTCAGGTCAGGGAAGATCTCCCTGGTGGATGGGATCTGGGAAAACTTGTGTGGTCAGGCTTGTTTCTCAAGAAGCACCCAGACTACCCAGCCAAAGCACGCTCACTCTCAGCAGATGTAGCTTCCTTCCACTTGCAGTCCCTGCTGAATGGTGTCTGGCATTACTACTAACAGAGAGGCACAAGTCAAGTGATTTGCCCAGGGTCACAAAGCTGGTGGTGGGAATAAGGAATCAAGAGTCCTGGATTTCAACTGAAAGCTAAGCAGGATGAGGGGTTCTGTCTTGGGTTTCTGCTTCTTGTTCTACCTGCAGAGGACAGATCATTGCTAAATAACTTTATCCCATGATTGTAGAGAGAATGGGTGCTAGGATGCTCAGCAGTGTCTACAGTTGCACCCAGGGAATTCCCGCCAGGGTTGCTGGAGAAAGGTAAAGGGTTGGGCTTCACCGCTTACACTCCACCAGGGTTGACTTGTGTGAGCACAGCAGTGCAGTCCAGGGCTTTGCCAGCCCTGAGCAGCCGCCAGTCCTCTTGCTTGCTCCTGCTGTGCTGGGCCAGGGCTGTGGTTAGGGGCCACTGTGCCCAGCAGGCTTACTTCATCTCCTTTGATGCATGGTCCCCTGGCAGGGCAAGACAGGACACTAATTGTTCTTTATTAATAGAAGATGACATTGGAATCTTGAACCACTCACCAAGGATCTAATGCTCTAATTAGAGAGGAAAGGAGAGGAGAGGAGAGGAAAGGAGAGGAGAGGAGAGGAGAGGAGAGGAGAGGAGAGGAGAGCAGAGGAGAGGAGGAAGAGGAGACCAGAAAGGAAGCAACGAGAGCACCTTAAGATCTACTTGGATTCAAGTGTAAAGTCCTTCCTTTGGGGAAATGGAGTCTCAGGCCCAGTAAAGTGCAGAAAGGTGAGGTTTTTCTAACCAAACAGCAGGGAGCCTGGTTTTCACTTGTTTACTTAATCTAATTAGCAAGATTTGTCTTTGCCTGGGATTTCACTTTATGTTGGAGAGGCGAGAGAACCTTTAGGAACAGTAAAATTTAGCTCCTCTTCTCTGAAGAAAACTATAGATTTATTTCTTACCAAGAATGACAATTTCCTGCTGAGCCATTTAGGTCTTAAATTTGCAAACTAGTACTACTACAGATTGTTGAGAAAGTCGGTGTCCTGCTCAGGATAGAAAGAACATTTGCTGAGACGTTTCTTCTGTGAGTTTCTACATCACCTCACCACAGACAGGAGGAGACTCTGCCCCCTTAATTAAAATCCACAACTTCCTTTGTGGACTTGTCCTCCAAGTCTGAGTAAGTGTTTGGTAGATCGTCAAGATCAGAGGAAATAATCTAGAGGAAGTGGATTCAAGGTGCCCAAGAAGAAATCAACCCAGGGTTTTTAAAGAGAAGGACTTAACTGGAATGCCAGCTTGTGATGAAATCAGGAAAAGAAATCCTTTGGCCAATTAAAAACATGTGGAATGTAGAAAATAAAATGGATCCAGAGTTTTAAGTCATTGTTTTAGCTTTCTTTGGCTTGTGCATTGCCATTTCTGCTTAAATGTCAACCAGTCTCCTAAAGGCTAATGTTGACACTAGACAAGATGTAGTTTGCACGGGTGATGTGTTTTCAGAAACATACACATGAAGCATGTTTATGGATTCGAGACTCAGAGAAGATGTGAAACTTGGCAAATGTTGGTTAGTGCTTGACGTAAAGCAAACGCTCTTTAATGAAAATGTTTCTAATTTAGCTTATTCCTTTGTTCACATTAATTGGGCAGATGTTTTAAAAAGAGACATGGGGAATTTCCTCTGGAATGCTGGATTGAACTAAAACCCTTCGGGGTGAGAAGATATTAGTGAAGGCTAGGCACTGCCCACTTGGATAACTTAGCATTTGCAGAGGAATTGAATTTTGGGAACTTGTCAAAATCTTGCCTTAGGTTGCTTTTTCCTTTGCAAACTTCTAGGGTTCCTGATGGTTGTTAAGTTAGCCTGGTACTGACCCCTAGTGGTCTCCCATGGATCGGTTAATTCTCACAAAGTTACACACGTTCACCACACACTCTCCTTTTAGGAGAGAAGACTGGGAAGAATACAGTGTTATCAAAACAGCAACAACAAAGAAGCTATTCAGATAGTCTCATTAATTTCATAGCATAGGCTAGGCAGTGCCCTTAGAAGTGTGTGTCTAAAGTGGCTTTAAGGCAGTTGTCGTCTCTTATTTGAGGTGATGAGAGGAAGCTGTGACGTTTTAGAAATAATTCATGGGGAAACACAATTATTTGTAAACTTCCATAATGCATTTGTGGCTACATAAGGTACATAATTTAAGATAATGGGTTATTCCATTGAAGAAGTCTATTTCTGTCATAAGTTGCATGACATCAATAACAATAGTCACAGGAAAGTCATGTAGAGTAATATCTGCTCAATAAAGACCTGATTACATCTTAACTCAATTATACATTTTATTTTGAGACAGCTCTTTAAAAGTATCCAATGCACTACATTTCTTGACTGAATTTTAAAATCAGCAATAAAATAAGAGTGCATATTCAGGAAGGTAATTTCATCAACTCTTGCTACAGTTATTTTCACAAACTTCATCTCAAAGATGCATGCTTTTATGGTTACGTTGAGGGTCATATTCATTTCTGACTCTTAGAAGAGGGTGGGAATTCTGAGGGCATTGTTTAAACACTATGTTAAATCTTTTATCCCATTGTAGTACTCAATTTGATGTAGTGTTCAAGAAAAGTTGTGTGTTACTCACAATGGGAATGGAATCTGATTTGAAGTTTCCAGAATCTAGCAAGTACCTCTTTGGTCATTCTATTGTGGGGAAGTTTATTACCTAGGTGTGAAATGTGGCTGAGCTTACTGGAGATAAGCACAGTGTGATAGTAGGTCCAGGGATGATGCTTTCATCCATTTGAGGATAGGAAAGCACAGTTCTGCAGAGTATTTGAGCTTGATGGGGCTGGGTACAGGTGTCACCATTTCTGCTGGATGTGCGAGGCCTGTGTTCAACATCTGGATGCATATGTCTGACTTGGCTTCTCCTTAGAGATGATTTGCTTTGTATCAATAGTCATCTGTGATTTTGCTGATGAGTAAATGTTTCACAGTCGTGATTGAAGGCTGTGGAGATCCTGGTTCCATGTTTGGCTCAGGTGAGTAGCATCTAGGCATTTCCTGAGCAAACTCACCTGCTCCCTTCTCAGGTGTCTTCCAACTTGTGTATCCCATAGAAACACAAAACAAGGAGACCTTCATTTGTGCTTAGTGTTGTTACACTGGGCAGAGTTTACTGTTAAGTGAGTTTTGTATGCAGCTGACCTCTGGTCTCATCAAACTTCTGGGTTCTGTATACGTGCTGACTTACTGAATACATATGCATATTTGCTGATACTATTAAAATGATCATTCTATTAAGAGAATGGAAGAAGACATGATAAGACATGCTTAATTTTTCTCAAAATTCAGGTTTCTTTTCCCACTGAGTAGGCATAATCAGGCTAGTTTTAGATAATGCACTGTAATACTGGGTGATTGGATATGAATAAACATCAGCTTTATATCTGAAGTAAGGATTTAATTGGAGAGGTTGTCTGAATCTGTAAATAGTGAGCAAAATATTTCCACTTTGTAACCATATTTCCTATGCAGAGCCAGTAGTTTGTTGGAAATGCCCTTTTGAATGCACAGCTTTGCATCCTGGGGAGAAGGGCTTTCCAGTGAATTCTGAAGGCTGACTTGTTTCCCTGTTGGTGCAGAGTAGGGCTCTGCCAGGAAGAAGCAGAAGTTGTCCGTGGTCTCTAACATACCCAGAGCAACAGGAACCAAGAGCTGAGCCTGCAAGTCAGCACTGTCAGTGTCTCTCAGCTGGGAGCAAGACGGTGGGAAGGGAGCTAGAGGTGGGAGGTGGTAGCTGGAAGTTGGGAGTAGAGAAGTGGGAGTAGGGAGCAGAGAAATGGGAGTAAGGAGGTGGGAGATGGGAGCAGGAAGGTGGAAAATGGGGACAGGGAGCACAGGGAAGTGGGAGGTGGGAGCTGGAAGTTGGGAGGTGGGAGCAAGGAGGTGGGGGCAGACAGTCACAGTCCAAGCAAAGCCAAGCGTATGTGCAATCTCTCAGAAACATTTATGAGAATAACTCCACGGAGGGATGTCTACTTCATGGTACACCTTTACGTTAACCAATGATAGTTATGGGCCCTCAGAAATATTCCTGTGATTATACAAGATACTTGCACAGTTTTAGTTTCTGACTTGGTCCCTCTTCCAGCCACATTGTAACTTCTTTCCTGACTGACAGACCTTTGGGAATATGTGGAAAGTCAAGAAACTCGAATGGATTTCCCCCAACCCTCTTAGTTGGTGATCTCTCAGAAACTTCTAGACTTGGGTAAGCCTGCCATATGGCTCCTGACAGGAAGTTGCGTCTTCAGCAGATAGTAGATCTGTTCTCAGAAGTACAAGGCAAAATGTGGGGGTCTCAGGATATTCTGCAGAGCTGGCAGGGTTGCTGAGAGAGGGCTTCTTCATCTCATTCTTAGGGATCTCTGCCAGGTTCATTTCCACCATTTAGGGTTCAGTTCATTTCCCCAAGTGTTTTTCTGGAATAAGAGAGGCTTTATTCAATAATGCTTCCATTACATAAACTTCAGTTATATGCACAGTAACAGCCTTGCTCCACTGGCTTTGGCCATGAACTTCCTTCTTTTCATCTGTGTACCAACCAAGATTGGGTCCACAGCCTTTGTCATGGTCACTCTGTTGTAGCAATCTCAGTTTCCTCTGAGCTCTGGTTTCTTGGCTGTTCCCATGACAGGTTGTAATGAGAACGAGGCTGACCACTTGGACCGGGATCAGCAGCCTTATCCGCCCTCCCAGAAGACCAAGCGCATGCGGACTTCCTTCAAGCACCACCAGCTCCGGACCATGAAATCCTACTTTGCCATCAACCACAACCCAGATGCCAAGGACCTCAAACAGCTTGCTCAGAAAACAGGCCTCACCAAAAGAGTTTTGCAGGTAAGATTCCTCCATCACTGGCTGATTTCGTAGAGCCATCTCCCTCACATGAATAGTTCACTTCCCTGTTTAGTGGAAGGCAGAGGTTTCCTGCACTGCTTCTTGCTAGTTTGTATTAGTTATCTCCCTCTAACCTGCTCAGGGATCTTGAAGGAGTTCCTGGAGGGTTCTCAAAGAGAGACCCAGGGTTGCTTTTTCTTTTTTAAAAATGTAGCCACATTCTGTATACACAGATGGGGAGGTGGGTCCCCCACAGCCAGCACAGCTTACTCCACTGCTGTGCAAGTGCAACTGGTGGTCTTTGCACAGCCGTGGCTCCAGAAATTTCCATTTGCTTTAAGCTCAGTGCACACGCTTGTGAGGGACCTGCTAGTCCTGTCTTCAGCAAAATCTTGGCAGTCTCACTCACATGCTGTGGTCTTCCAGATTCAGGCAGACTTTTTATTTTCCCCCTTCATATATCTAAAAGTTAAGAGTTGATCAGTGTCTCTGACTCCAATGAGAGTAAGTGTTTTCACACACTGTGATTAGAAAATAATGCTGGGAGTGAGTTCTGCTGTTTGGTTGCTTCGCTGAGCTCATTATGCTAGGGAAATACAACCTAAGGGAGTTACACAGCATATTGCAGTGAGTCAGCTATGACCTCCCTTACTGTTTGGTGGCAATCAGCAGGTATGTCTGCCTGCCCTGGCTGTTTGGGACAGGGGTATTCATTCCATATGAGGGATTTGTACTCCGTGGTACTTTAAGGGCTTTGCCCCTCCCAGTTCTTAAAGAGAACAGGTAAAGAATCAGGGCTATTTTCTCCCCCTTTCTCCCCATACCTCCTTCTCCATGCTATCTCCACTTAAAGCCAAATGAACCAAGTAGCACCCGTTAATGCTTGGGTGGGGGGACAGGAGAGTAAAAAAATCGATTTGTAGTTTTCCTTGACTTTGTCTTAAGAAAAAGGGAAAAAAATATTCCTTTCAGTCCCCAGAAAAAGAAACGTTTCTATTTAAATGGAAACACATATTTAAAAGAATTTTTTTTAAAGCGAAAGAAGGGAGAAAGAGAAAAATAAATAAATAAACATCGGTAAAGAAATCAATTGGGATTGGTTTGCAGGTTTGGTTCCAAAACGCAAGAGCCAAATTCAGAAGGAACCTTTTGCGGCAGGAGAATGGGGGTGTTGATAAAGCTGATGGCCCATCGCTTCCGGCCCCGCCCTCAGCAGACAGCGGCGCTCTCAGTCCACCCGGCACTGCGACCACTTTAACAGACCTGACCAATCCCACAATCACTGTAGTGACATCCGTGACCTCTAACTTGGACAGCCACGAGTCTGGAAGCCCCTCACAAACTACCTTAACGAACCTTTTCTAACATTGGTTTTTTTTTTCTTCAATTCTTCTTTTTTTTAATTATTATTCTAATTATTATTTTATTATTTACAAGAATTTTTGTTTTCCTTCTTCTAACCCACAAGATATTTGGGTAATAAAAACAACAGCTTGGCGTGTAGCATCTGTAGCCGCTTGGCAAATGAGTTTACAGTATTGTCTCCGTTAAGTGAACATATTTTGTCTACAAAGTGTATTTGGATATATTTTTTTTCTCTGATTAATTAGGTCTTTCAGTCGGTAAGGAGAGTTTTTGAATCATTCTAAGAAGTGCCTCTTAAAATTGTATGTTACTTATTTCCAGAATCTCAAAGAAAAAAAAATGAAAATGGTATTATGATGAGCAAATTATTGTCTTGCTACTTGAATGGTTATGGTCATAGTGACTTAGAGAATGAAATCTTATTTCGAAATTTTGCAGTTGTGTATATGATTGTGGAGTTTTGAAAACTTTACATTTAAAAAAATTTCAACCGAAAAATTATGTCGGATTTTCTACTTCCTGTCTGAATTGGTTCAAGTCAGGACTATGTTTAAACAAAAACATCACCTATACAATTTTAAATAGTAATTAGGTGAGAAAATCATCCAGAGTGATTTTTCTTTTCAGGAGTATATAACCCAAAATATCTGTTACCTCGTTATTTGTTTTCAACATGTGAAAAGTACTTCAACACCCTAGAAGTCTGTGGAAATTCTGCATTAAAGTTGAAATTCTATACTTTTATCTTCCTAAATTAAACAAACAAAAACCTGTGAAACCTCTACTTCTAAATTATTTTTTTTCTGTGAGAAATGGAAATAAGCAAAATATAATTTAAGAAGTCAAAAATTGGTGAACTTAATCAAAAGCTCTATTAGTTGGCTTCAGCTGTACCGTGATATTGTCTCTTGCATTCTCTATGAATTATGTTTCTTTTTTTCTAAAAAACAAAAAACCCCAAAAAATCTTAGTGGACTAACATCAACAATGAGAATTTTTTGGTTTTGTTTTGCTTTATTTCATTTAGGCATAGGTTGACTTATATGTTGAGAACAACTCTTCTGACATTAGAGATTTAAAGTTATGTGTCTTAAAGAAGATAAACTCAGAAGCCTAGTGGATGCTGATCTGAATAGATTTCCTAGTTTACAGTAACATTTTATTTTCTTTTAATTTAAACTAAAATCTTAATGGTCTGGGCAGTGGTGAATGTTCATCCATATGCGTCTGTTCTAGTTAAATACCAATTAGATGTGGATTTCCTAAAAAATATATATATAAAATAAAATAAAAAAGAAGTCAAGATACATGTGTTGCTTTAGTGGATTGTTCAGAATAACTTTGCACATGTTGTCCACTCCTTGGACCCCTTAAACCTTCTCTGGCGGTCTAAGTGGCTATTTATTAGACTTTCAAGGTGTCCTTCTGGCTGTATAAATGTGTGGTTACATATTGACAGTTCACTGCCCACATTAAAGTGCATTATTGTAACTTTTGCTCAGGGTCTTTAGAAAATTAGCACAGAAAGTAGCTTATTTTTTAAAAAATAAAAGATGATGGAAGAGAAGTTAACACTGTAACAGAAGAGAAGGTGTGATTGCCATTATATATTTAGCAAGTGTGGTTATCATCTTCTATGGAGCTTAAATCTTGACTTTTCATATTTCTATTACATTTTGGGCATTTACCACTAACCAGACCAAACAACCTTGGTAAAGCTGAGATCTTATTGATACACTTTTACAGGTAAAATATTGATACTTATAAATTTTGTTCTTTGACAGAACAATAAATGGTACTATAGATCTACTTTATTAAGTAGACTAATTATAACTCAGTTCTCCTATGTGCCTTATGATATAACTTTGGAAGTAAGTTTGTGGAAAATCAGGATATATGTGTTGTTTGTTAAATTAACTGTTTTAAGCCCTTTTGACACCTCACTAGTTTTGTACTGTTTTACCTCTTATTTCTGAAACTCTTTTTATGGTGTATCCTGTTAGAGGGGGCAAACATGTCATAGAAAGCAGTTGTGCACTCTTTCAAATATAGTGGATAAATTCAGTAATCTTATATATTGACCTTCGTGTTTATAGTACAGTAAGTGGTCTAGCAAAATTGTCCATGTTTCTTTGTTTATTGATAAATGCATTGTATAGAAACTATTTCCCCTAAATATTTATGGACCAAACAATTGTGATATATCCTATTAAATTTGTGTGAATAAACCATTTTGAATCTAAGGAGTTTTATTTCCCATCAGTTTTGAGTTTTACCTGTACTAGCGTGTGTCCAGTCTGTGTATGTGAAAGCTATAAAAATGGTGGAGCAAAAATTATTTCAAATATTCAAACATACGAGCAGGTTTTAGATGTCCAAGCTTCTAATTCATACTAAATGCACACACTGTTGCATATACAGTATAATTCAACCTGGAATTACCTTGAGATATATTTGATAAAAGTAATGCCCCACTGATTTGATTCAGTTCCATCTTTAGATTAAAAAAAATAAATTAGAGAAAGTAATTGCATGAAAAGAAAACTTAAATATGATTAATATTCAATGCTAGGTCTATTCAGCACAAATGGATATTTGTAAATCTAAATAGAATTGCAGACCCCTAAAAGCCAAGTTGCTCTGTAGTTAATAAATTGTCACTATGATTTTTTTCAGGGAGAACAAATCTTGGGGCATTACAGCCAAACATCCCGACGTTTGAAAATTCCCTAAAGTATAAAAAGAAGGGGAAAGTTTGATCGGAAATCCACTGCAGTGAAGACAAAGACACTATTAGGTTATGATAATCATACATTTAAAAATTTATTGAGCCAAAACCAGAGAGAGACAGAGACTTAAATGTCATTTGCTGAATGTTAACAAAACTTTTGTTCTTTATGGTATCTTAACACAATGAAGGCTTAAAATTAAGTGGTTTAAAATGAAACCAGATAAGCCAGGTGCAAACCAGAACAACCTGGCAGGAATATGTCCACCCCATATTTGGAGAAAACTATTACTGAAAAAAAAAACCCCCACACATTTGTCAAGCATAAATAGTTGTAAAATAAAGTCCCCCAAACATTCATTTCACTTGCTTGCTAATGTGTACCGGTACTAACTGTTCATGGCATTTAACAATTGTAAATTCAAAGAAGAGCTTCCACTCATTTGAGAGTATAGGGATCAGACCCCAGTAATTTTAGTCTTATTGTTTATCACTTCCTTTTGAAACAGAAATCTCTGCATGCACTTTTACATCTGTCACCTCTAGTGTACATCTCTGTATGATGACTTATCTTTGCTGTTTCTTGTATGATAAATAGCTCTCATTAATAAACATTTTATTTGATGCAAACATAGTTAACTTTATGTTAAATATACACTGTTGAAGTTAATTTTGAACACTGTCCTATAGAGGCAGCACAGCACACATACAACTTGTTATATATTTAGGAAAAAATCCAAACAGTATAATGAGGTTCAGTCCTGGTAGTTTAGAGTAATATTGTTACTTAATTCTTATCTTTTCATGACTTACTTTCTTTTGTTTTATTCAGTTAACATATTAAAAATGAAGATGAAGTAAACTTAAATTGTAGCAAAAATAAATCTCAGAATAAGATACTGTGTAGAATTTCAACAACCTTTTCAGACTATTAGGGTAATATTCATGGGTTTTCTGAGTTTTCATGTTTGCTATGCAATGAGCAAGGTTATTGAAGTGTACAAATATAGGCTGAGCTATGAAGAATCCAGTCTGTGTAGTTCGTAGTTACATACTACGAACAAAAGAGAAATAAGGTTTTTAATTATTAAAGGGAATATTTGAAGAAAGAATTTTTAAACTATTCCTATAAGCTGTTTATCCAAAACATATTAAACAGATTAACATAAAATACTTTCCAGAGAAATTTTCGTATCAATGAATTCTTTTTTGTTATGAACAAATGAACCGTATGTAAATTATGTAACTTTTATGAGTGGCAGACATTAAATATTTCACTTCTTCATAGTCTCACAAGGTTGAATGTTTTCTTAAATTCTTTTATAGCCTAAATACTAAAATGGAAAAAATTTAAAAGAGGTAACAGCTTACTAAGAGTAGTAACAACGACAATAAGAAGCAATACACACGACAAACGGGCTGTTCTGATAGGTGAGACGTGTTGATTTTGCCAGTAACTTGAATGTTTATGCCTCTTAAAAACTCCACGGTCATTGCAATCTAAGTAGGTTTTTCAATACATTCCAAGCCAGTTGATTGAATCTGTATCGTCCGGCCTTGTCCCCTTTTTCCTATTCTGTCACTTATGGCAATTTCATTTAGAAATACTTTGAGACCTTGCCTGGTTTTTCAGACTTTTAAACAGTTGTCTGGTATGTGAAATGTGGGAAGAGACCAAAGAGGGCAAGAACATAACTGAAATTAGATACCTGAAAAAAATATACAAATTTGAAACAGGCACTTAAAAAAAAAAGAAAAAAAGAAAGCAGTACTAATTATGTGAGTGGAGAGAGAAAAAAGCGTGTGGTGGGGTTCGAGGTTTCATCAGGCTTCTGGTGCTGTGTTGCAGGCTCAGCTGGTGTAACTGCACATGTACTGTTGAGCATGGACTAGAAGGATGCAAGGAGCAGGGCGCCAGGCTTCTGTAGCTGCTACCTCTCTATGCCTAGGTTAGTTTAACTCGTGGCAGATCAATTTGGGGGCACAAAAACTTTTCTCAGAGTGCCTATGAGCTGTGGTTCAGTGGCCATCCTCATGTTGCTTCCATAGTGGGCAGGTTTCTGATTGCTCAAAGAAGGATGCAACTCTTTAGATAAAAAGACCCAAAGCAAACACTTATAAAATCATGGTGATTTTTCATTGCCTGGAAAATAAATTGCTTTATTTAACAAAATTCCAGTGGAATCTATTGTGTATAATTTAAAGTCAAAGCATTTTTTTTTTTTGGTTATCCACATATCTAAATATGCATTCGTGGGAAGTTCAAGGTGGTGGAAAGCCTTAGAAATTAGAAGCTTTGGAATGGATATTTGGTCCTTAAAGAGAACATTAAGGATAGTCCTGCTGGTCTCAAAAAGAAATACAAACACATAATTTTGTATAGAGCTTTGCTGTTTACTTCTTAACTGTTGTAAACAAGACCAAGTTTACTTATAGAGAGACTGTACCTTTTACATTTTATGGTCTTTAGACATCACAGTAAAATAAAGACACTAGGGCTTGGTAGAAATTGAGGAATTGTCATTGTATTTCTTTAAAGCCATACATACAGACAAACTCTGGAATGGCCTTTTGGATTTGTTGTCTATTTCTAGTGGTTGGGAACTAACTCTGAATGTTGAAATAAATGCAAATCCTCCAGGTAAAGCCTCAGGCCTTCGCTTTACAGCCAATGCCAAAAATACAAAGTTATTTTCTTTATGATTTGCTTTATTGATTTTAAGCACTTTCAAGATCTTTATTCTGCATTTACAACATTCTTTCAGAACATTATTATGATTTACTTTATCTCTAAAACAAATTATTAACCTAATGTATTATTTTGAAGATCCTCTGGGAAGATTCCTGCTTTATTTTAGCTGGTTCCAAAGCAAAAACAAAACAAGAGGTCAGAACTGTCCATGATATGCAAGGAAAAGTCTCAGAAGATGCTATTAATGCAATATTATTGCCACAACTAAATTTCTTTTTAACTATGTTGCAAAATACATATCATTGCATACCATT